AGAAATCAAAAATATCCTCCGCCCCCCCCCCCCCACTTGTTCTCAAAAGTGACCATGAGACAGAAACCATGACACTGTTCCTTGAATTCGGTGTTATGTAATGCATTACCAAGAACCAAACACTTTCTATCTTCAATCTACATGCACTCCACAAAGCTGAGCTGTGATTGGTTGGTAAGGTGTCTTTTTCTATGGTCTGTTTCAGAGAGAAAGTGTGCGGACTGTGGATAAACACCTTTACATAACAGGGAAATGGTGGAAATTTCCCGTTAGACTCAGTTTAAGGGAAAGACAAAGTACAAGTGGCTTTGTCTAGGACCATTGAAAGAGATAAACTGAGTGCAAGTGCAAGTGCAACTGGACCCTTTTAGCATTTCTTCCTCTGTACATATACACACTCCAACTACAAAGTTTGGAGAAGAACACCAAAAAGCCCCAACAAGAAAACACCCACGCAGATGCCCTGGATGGACATGGAAAACTGTTCTGAAATAGCTACCGACCATGCTATCTTGTTTCCAACTTTTTACTAGCATTATTGGAAATAAGAAGGATACCCTTCTCCCCCACAACACATCAAATCAAAAAGCAATGAAAAGCCAAACCAACCCTACCTTACGTATGCTTAAACTCAGAAGTCAGATCCTACTTTCACTATCAATAAGAATATAAAAGGTGGGAAATAAACAAATCAATCCATATAGCAGTGGATAAACATGAAGACTCCATCTTAGAAACCCATCATATCTGATATCTATCCTACTCTAGGAAAAAGTATAGCATATAGATTTGTTACATGATGTTGTAAGGAGTACACATGGCAGGCAGTTCAAATAAATTGTGAGATTTGATTTTGACAACGGATGGAATGATTTAGTATTGTCAACCTAATATTTATATGGCTATTCCTAAGATAGCCAGGAAAGAATAGAACTTTGCAAGGATAAAAGAGGAAAAAGGAGAAAATAAGATAGTGGGGAATCCTAAGCTTGAAGGGGCGCAACAGTGAAGATGACATAAGCATTGTTCCTTACAGAACCAAGCATCAACAGGTGGGGTTAGTGATTGGTATGACAAAAAATAAAAAACATCCCATCTCACTTGCATTACACTTTGATACCCCTGTCCATTAGGTTTTTGATCTAACCTTAAAAGGATTCCAATGAGCCTTTTTTCATCTATTCAACTTCCCTTGATCACCAGAACTCATCTAAAATGATGATCAAAGAAGATGAAACAACTCTTACAACATCCAAAGAACAACAAGGTGAAGTAATGAACGGAGACAAGGACAATTATGGAAGCGAAGATGACAATCCCAAAGAGTGGTTGAACCTGAGCATAGGAGGCACTTCACTCTCAAATGCTGGAGACTCTGATTCACAATCAAGACCATCCACTGCCAAAGTTTTTTCATGCAACTTCTGCATGAGGAAGTTCTTCAGTTCACAAGCATTAGGAGGTCATCAGAACGCCCACAAGAGGGAGAGGGGAGCTGCAAGAAGATACCAATCTCAGAGGTCCATGGCTATAATGGGATTCTCCATGAATACACCCATGTTTCGGTCACTTGGTGTGCAGCCTCATTCACTCGTGCAAAAGCCATGCAGAGGTGGTACTATGGTGGCACCGAGCTTTCATGATGCACATGCAAGGCTTGGGGTGGCGTGGACACCTTTCTCGTCTGAGGATCAAACGGATATGGTGTGGCCAGGAAGCTTTCGCTTGGTTCCACAACAGCCTCAGCCACCACAGGAGCCACTCAAGCTTGATTTAGACCTCAGACTCTGATTGGGTTTTTCGTCTCAGCTTGAGACTTTATCCTCCTTTTGAGCCAAAAGACCCTGATCGTTAATCTAAGCAGGAAAAAAGACAGTTTACTTGGCAGAGTCGATAACTCAGATGATGATGGTACTGCATGGTAAATGGTAGGAGAATTGTAGTTTCCTTTGTCTATTTATGCTTACATCTTTAGCACCAGAAAACCCAAACTATAACACCCGGCTATCTATTTTCCTTCATGCTTAAAATAATTCCACATGCGTAGTGCTCACTTGACATGTTGCTGACATAAGAAGATTATGCTTTTCGACATTAAAATTGTGATTTTCTTCCGGCATGAACTTCGATCATCTTAATCGATTGACAAACAGCAACAACTACCTCAACACTTTGTGGATGCTAGGTACGTTCGAGATGGGATGCTTCCAAAATATGTAAAGCTTAAATTTTTATCAGATAGATTTTAACAAATGATGACAAATCCAGTGAGATTTTCCAGAATGAAATTTTCAGTAAGACAGTTGATGCTACTATGGCCATGTACAGAGGGGGAAAATCCTGAATTATTTCATAACGCTAAATTCACAATGATTTCTATTCAAAGTTCGGAATTTTTAACAGGCTTTCACAAATCATAGCTGTGTTGACAAAAAATATCTTTGAAATGACGGGTCAAGGTACGCTTATGTTTGCCAACACTAAAGTAATACATATTCCTACTTTGCTTAACCTACGAGGGGTTTTGTTATCTAAGCCATGCTTTACTTCAAAATAATGATTTAATTGTAGAGTGTTATCTGCTAAATACATTTGACTTGCTTTAAAATAGCGTTTCGTGAACAAAATACATGAGCGATAGATACAGAGGCAACCCCAAAAAGCCTTTCCAAATGCATATTGTAAACTTCTGCTCTGTTCCATGCATTTCCTTTTTCCTTTAAAATGAAAGACATTACTTTAAAGGGGGGTGTGGAAAGTCATAGCTATTAGAAAATTAATAGTTAAAATTGTGATCAGATGCTTAAGCTTGTATATAAAAAGTGAAAATTTTTATACGTCATCCATTGATTTTGTAAGTAATGGCTATAACTTCTCACTTTTTCATGTAAAATGGATCCCTCGTAGAGAAGTCAGATCCCTCTCCCCAACTCTTATGTACAGGAACAAAACATGATCAACATGCATCTAGAGCTTATCTCATGAGAAGCAAATTATGGTTTCAAACTGCAATGGTAAAGGATGAATACAATATGAACAAGTTAAGAATTGATTAGAAACCCTTTTTGCATTATGGGAATTTGCAGCCTTATATCTTTAAGAGGAAATTGCAAGCTTTTGGGTAGTATGCTTTATGATGGGGAGCTTCTGGCTGATGATGCTTGGATCACCATACGCAGCAGAATCAAAAGGGTGCCCTTTCTGCATCAATCAATCAGACAGTCAAGTACAATTAGAAAGGCGCTCAGCATTAAAATGTAACTTGTAAATGATAGCCAACATGGCAACTATTTACAATTGCTATATATTTTTTCTTATATAAGTGGGAAATATTTATAATTGCTATATAATCAATTTTGTGCTTTCAATCTTATAAATGTGTCTTTGAGAATTCAATATCATATAGGCACACTAAGCGTCACAACTTCTATCATTAGTATTGTTTCTTGAAAATATTCGTTCAAAATTTTGAAAAAGGTGAAGAAGCTTTAAAGAATCTAGACAACTCAATCACCTCTCGTTTTGAGTTGTTGAAGCCATCTGGTTAACACCACTTGATCCGTGATCTCATACAAAAAAAAAAAAAAAAAATGTATAGAAAAGAATAAAGCAGTAGACAAAAAACCTAACAGCCTTATTATCAACTACCACAGCACAGATCAATCACCCACATTCTTTCTTCCTATACTATGGTCAACAACAGAAAAAGAAATTAGCATTCTAAATTAATGTAAGAACATGGCATGCGCTGTATAGTACAAACTTACAGCAGACAGAGCTTGAAATGTAGATTCTCTCCAGCAACTCTCTCGAAGTATAATGGGATTTGTACATCCACCAAATACGCAATGCATACGTGTTTCCCTCAGTCTAATCAACACTCCATCAACTCTAAGCTGTATTAGAGCCAAATTAATCAGTTAAAATTACAAGTTTAGGGAAAGTGGTGTGATGATGTGCTGACACAGATACTAATCACAAAGTTTGTCAGGAGCATTATAGATCCTTTGCAATAACTTCAGTATTTTAGATGACCTACATGATTTACAAACATAAGAGTAATAATAATGAAATAACTAATTTGCAAGCAAAACTTCATTTAAAAGAGTAACTAATGAAATAACTAAATTTTTTGTTCTTGACTATCATTAATATATAGCAGATTTCATTAAACTATTTCACTTGTGCAGATTAACAACATGACCATTTTCTAAAAAAAGGACCACGCAGTATAGAACTGACTAGAATAACAAAATACCAAAATTGCAAGCCAAACATCACTTAAAAGACTACGAAGAAATTTACTAATTTAGTACACAAACAGAGAGATTGCTCACCCAAAATCGCAACAGAAGAAACCAAGAGCTTGGCATGACTCTCTGTAAAACCAAAAAGTAATGTCATGAGAAGTTGGTAATCATATTAATTTGCATAACAAAAACCAAAAACCAGACCCAAATCAACACAAGAAACCAAAATAATTATTACCACTTTCACAGTAAGAAGTGATACTCCATTATCGGCAAGTTCATCCTCGTATAACACCACCTGTTCATGATAAGGATTCATTTTTGAAGAAAAGTAAATACCATCGAAGAAGAGAATATGGATAAACAAGTAAGCACGAACATATCTATTTTGGATTTTTGGTTCTTGTTGACTATCATTAATAAACAGCAGATTTCACTAAACTATTTCACCTGTGCAGATTAACAGCATGATAAATTTCTAAAAAACGGAGCACTACAGTACAGAACTGACGAGGGTTAGTTATATGGTTTTTCTATCTTTCACTTGAGCTCTTTTCTCATGAACAATGCAAAATTGTTTCTCAAAAAATGATTTGCATGCAAAAACAGTTCTGTGCGTAGAGGTTTCCAAAGTAGTCATTACCCACCTCGTCATAGAAAAGTATGGGCTCTTTGGATGCAAGTGCAACTACATCAATTCGATCCCTGCAGTCTTCCCATTGGATATCGCTGGTTTCCTTAGAAATCTCTCTCCCATTCTACCATACAAAAATTAAATATCTTGAATAACAGCGTAAACAATAATATTATTGCGGTTTCCCTTATTTTCTTATAACAAAAGCACCGATATGTAGCTTTGGGCATTTAACAAACTACTGTATGAATCAGAAACTCACTGCAAAATTGTACCCCGTGAATCAAATAAACGGCATTCAGTATGACAGTTTAGTCTATGGACAAACAAAGAAGGAACGCATACCAGATCTTTATCAATCTCAACAGAGCCACTTCCAACATAAGGTGTTGTAAATGTATAGTCGTAATCTAGTATTACTTGCTCAGAGGGCTTACTGCACATTTTACGCAAAAGAATGTGAGACAAATGATGTGGACTTTGAGTCACATCAACAAATTTACACATTCTATTCAATAGGACCGGTGGACAGCACAAACAATTAGCAGGCAGTTTCATACAAGACATACATTTCTTCAAAGAAAGAAAAATAGCAAATGAATCAAAGCACACCTATATGAATATAATGATAACAGGATATTGAGATATATATCTCTCATCTCACCTTCTAAATTTCCATTTGGCGGCTGCAGGAACTTCAACTGGAGGCAAGGCTTCCTTTTTCCAGCCACACAGAGCATCAAATGCATTGAAATGAATTTTTGTGCCACTACTTAAGTGTTTCAGAATTAAAGTGTTTTCCCCAAAAACCATTTCTGGTAAGTGAGACGTATCAAGCTTCTGTTCCCACCTGCAAGGCATATCCATCATCAAAACAAAATTCTCATAAAAAGCACTGTTAAAAGCTCAGAAGTAGAAAATAGGGGAACTAGGGTTAACTGATGCGAGAATCACTCACTCTTGGATGGTAGAAGAGTTCAGTATGGAGTGCCTCCGAGACTCGATCAACCATCCATTGATGCGAATCCCTCGCCGGCCACCGTCGGTGAAGAGTTCGGCGCCGGCGACTTTCAAATCGTTCTCGTCTACTTCCAAATCCATTATCACTTTCGGGTTTCAATTCGCTCGGTAAATCCCGATTTACAGTCGCAGGGACTCGGTTTTTAAGAATTGGGTATTGCATATGGGCCCTTCGGGTCAGGCACTTAAACCTATTTTAATTCAGGCCGATTAGCCCAATGTCCAATTTACTCTTTTGTTTTTTAAGAATAACTAGGACATACACTACAAATACTTGTAAAAGACTAGTCCAATTGGTTGGTGTAGTAGTGAAATTCTTTATGCATAATCTTGTGAGAATAATTTATTGAATGGAAATCCTGTATTTAATCTCCACCATGTGTAAAAATTGTTCAGGTCATTGATATATCACAATTCACAAATAAGATTAATTTTAGACCGGTAAACTAAAAATACTGTAACAAAATAAAAAATAATAATGTAAAATACCTTACACTATTTTTTAGTTACAAGTAATGACAAGTTTATTGATTTTTATTATATTATTTTAAAATCCACATTAAGAATTAACCAGAAATATTTTATTTTTGGTTGTTTATCTTTTCATTAACCAGAAAAATTAAAATTATTAATACATTTTTCCATAATCTTCATTAGCTGTATATCATTGTAAACTACCGACTAATAAATATTCAATCTATTTAAACAATTTCAATTATATAATGATATATATATATATATAT